AGGGGGGGAACTCCTTTCTCTGCAGCAGAAAAAAAGAGAACACCGAGGAGGCAAAGCTTCTTTTCTAAAACCCCAGCCCAGTAACGGCACACCTCACCTCTGTTCATGGCCCGGTACAGGATTTGATCTCCTGGCTCACCTAACTCCAGGGGAGTCTGAGCATGTGGTCTAGCTATGTGCCTGAGAATGGATTTCAGTAGACTGCTAATCATCTTTGCCACAACGTGCAATCCCAAGCTACGTTCTATTCAGAGCAGGAGGCTCTAATACCATCTGATACCATAGTACTCAACAGTAGCTAGAATATTTGGCAGCAGCTTTTTGAGCCACTTAACCAGATGACTTGACTTTTAAAATTCTAGGGGGAAAAAAACCATCAATGGTTCTTGAGTAGTTCAAATGAGATGACGAAGTCTTAGAAGTCTGGCCGTTATTGAGAGCAAGTCTCAATTACTCGGGTCCAGGAGTAGTGAGACTGTCTTAAATTATCTGGTTGGTTTCAGTGAGTGTGGTAATTGTAGGGGTTCCCCATCTCTCCCCCTTCTGCCCCACCTGCCAGTTCCGGTTGTATTTCAGGAATCCGTTTTGGCGATGCCTGTGATCACACCGGAGTCTGATTCTCTCCGTCTTTACCTTCCCCTTCCTCTGAGAATCATTGTCAGATGGCCCTTAAGCTGCGGCAACCGTGCCCCCAGTGGAGACCTGGAAACCTCCTTCCTTACAACTTCTCCAAAGCAGACTAGCATCTCATTTTCTGGGTTGCCGAAAGACAAAATGACATCCCTAAAGTTATTGTAGAGCTGATGCTACAAATTTTTCAGGGTAACCGGGTTATTTTTCCTAATGCAACATCTCCTTATAAATGATAACACTGCAATTCTGAGGATACAGTAAAAGGTGACAGCACGGACCACACTTACAAGAGATATTTGGCCTAAGGGAAGGCCACGTTTTAGAGTCTGGGAGGCCGAAACCCTGGAGTCAAATTGTCAAGGCCACATACGCACTATTTTAAAATGAAATTATAAGGAAAAAATACACAAATGACTGGAGAAGTAACAAGAAGTATTTAATATTTTATTAAAAACAGAAACTTAGAGGGGGGCACCTGGGTGGCTCGGTTGAGCGACTTCGGATCAGGTCATGATCTCACAGTTTGTGGGTTCGAGCCCCGTGTCGGTCTCCGTGCTGACCGCTTGCTCAGAGCCCGGAGCCTGCTTCAGATGCTGTGTCTCCTTCTCTCTCTGCCCCTCCCCCGCTCACGCTTTGTCTCAAAAATAAAATAATGTAAAATAAATAATAAATAAATAAAGTGTAAATAAATGTGAAATTCTCAAAAATAAATGTAAAAAAAATTTTTTTTTAGTTAAAAAAGAATCGAAACTTAGGGGCCCCGGGGTGGCTCAGTCAGTTAAGCGCCTGACTTCGGCTCAGGTCATGATCTCACAGTTCATGAGTTCAAGCCCCACGTAGGGCTCTGTGCTGACAGCCTGGAGCCTGCTTTGGATTCTGTGTCTCCCTCTCTCTGTGCTCCCTCCCCCACTTGCACGTGTGCTCTCCCTCTCCGTCTCTCTCTCTCTCTCAAAAATAAATAAACATTAAAAAAAAATTTTAAATAAAAATAGAAATGTAAAAAAACAAACAAACAAAAAAAAAGTGGGCTTTTTTTTCACCACCCGGGGTGGTGATCAAGAGATAATTCCATGGATTGTGTCTTAAAGCCAAGAGGCTAGAAAAGCTTGTTGAGCCACAAGCACTGTACAGGGAGCCCCTCACCCTTCTGCCACTAGAGGTACTTATGTCATTCCCAGGAAGCCTGCAAGGCTCCAGGGCTGGATCAATTTAGGACTCTGTGGGAGACATTCTATACCATAAGGGGAGGCTTGCTTGCATCAGAGTAAGTATGAATAGCAAAATGCAATGTAGCACTGTCTTTTATCCAATAAAGACATTTAAATGTGTTAACACTTCACATTCATTGCGCACTTGCTGTGCATGTGATACTGTTTTAAACACTGCGTGAGCATTACCTCATTGAATACAACAGACGTGAAGTAGATTCCGTAATCCCCATTTAGTAGATGAGGAAATCAAGGTAGGAGAATTTAAGGATCTTGCACAAGTGTATATGGCAAGGAAGCAGGGAAGCTGGAATTCACACGCAAGCAACCTGCTACAAGACCTCTTCTTTTTTAACCACTAGATTATCTGTCTCTTCTCTCTGGGAGTTTGTTAATTTGTCTCTCCATCCACCGCCATTTTGGCCTCACTGTGAAGTAAAAGAAACAATTCCTATAACTTGATTAAGCCAGGGAAACTTCTTGAGGCCTGGGCACTGCTCTAATCTAAAGACGACAAGACTAAACCCCAGTGGTATCTTAAGCTTTTGCCCATTTGACACACATAGTAAAGCCCTGAAAACGTTTGAGGAGCTTACCAAAGTCGCAAGTCAAAACACGTCACTGAGAAGAACAATTTAAGGATTATAATTAGACGTCCACTTGGCTCTCTTGTCTAAGAGCTTGCTGTATCACACCACCCACCCCAGGGTATTCTTTCTCTCCTTCCCTATTTCAGGGTCAACATTTGGAACCGTGTGTGGGTCTTTCTCTAATTATGCAGATAAGACAGTGATTAGATACCAAAATCAGTGACAAGATCATTTGGGTTTTAAATTGCCTTTCTGGAACTCTTATAATTTAAAGAATATCCTAACCTTCCTAACTGCATCTCTGCCTAATATTCCTCCCAGCCAGCAGGGTAACTCTATTTATAATGGTTAAGTAGTTTATCTTTGTCCATTCTGTATGACTCGGTGCCTCCATCCTTGTGAAGAAAGGTTCATAATGCCTGACCACCATACCTGTTGCCTTTCTACTATTTGTCGCTGGCCAGTCTGGACAGGCCCTGCCACCTCTCCTCCCACCCAGGCTTTGTCACTAAGGTACTTTCATCTGACAAACAGTATTAAGATGTACTATCTTGTATTTTGTCCACTCACCAAGCGCTTCTACTGTTCCCATAATAAGATGAGTTCGATAAACATTCAGGATTTTGTAATGGTAGAAAAACAGAACCTCTCAGGTGTCACACTTTCCTCAGAAATGTGATAAAAAAATTGTCTACCCTTGAAGTCACAGCATGATGGGAGAGGCCAGATGACCAAAAGAGTCTTTGAGGAGTTACCGGAGTCAAAGTAATTTTTTTTCCAGTTTTATTGAGGTACAGTACACACAATGTAGAAAAAAGCATTTCTAACGCTTGCTTCCTCTGTGTTTTCCAAAAGTGCTTTCCGAGCTTTCTCTCCTCACAGATTTTTCCTCTTTTCCCCCTTACTGCTCACTCTATGAAGGGAATAGCTTTGGGTCCTGTTGAACTCAACCAGTCTTTCGTCACGGTCTCTTACATAGATTCGGTGGAGTCCTTTACTGTCAGTAAAACCTTAAGTTGAAACACTGGTTTGGGCAGAGAAGTTAATGAGTAATGACCACTGACGCAGCCCAAGTATCAAATGCAAT